GGTCAGCTCAGCTAGGTCGACCCCTTTGCTGCGCCACCTAACGCCCTCGTCAGATCCCGGACCGCGTTGATCTAACGTCAGAGTGCTAGCCCTCCTGGTCCCCCCTGTTCCCCTCTTCTTCTTTCTTCTTCTTCTTCCCATCCTTCTCCTCATTCTCGACTCGACTTTCTCTCTTCTCTCTCCGTTGCTGCCCGTTTACTTCTGGTTCTCTTCCTCCTTATTCCCTACTTCTTTTGTTGCCCGGTGGCCGCTTCGCAACGAGCATCCCTGGCCGCCGTCAAAAAAAGACCTCGTCGCGTTGCGCCTGTTCCCTGTTCCCTGCTCCTTGTCCCCCCCGTTCTTCCTCTCCTATCCTACGTGATCTCTCTCTCCGCCTCTCGCTCCCGGTCGTCGCCCTCGAGCATTATCTATGTCATGTCATGTCCCCTGTTCCTGTCTGTGTGATCTCTCGCTCTCTCTCCCACTCTCTTTGCTCTCCGCCTCCCTTGTCCTCTCTCTCTCTCTCTTACTCCTTCGCTTTTCTCTCGCTGCTTGTCGCCGGTCCCCCGCCAAATCAGCGAGACGATCCCGTTTCATGAACATTGTCATGGACCCGGCCCCGCCCACGCTACCCCGCGTCATGGACGACGCGCATGCCTTTTCATCAACGGCCTCGTCCATGGTGCCTCCGCGAGATCGGACTATCCCACGGGAACCCGAACATAGACCACGAGTTATCATGTCAGAGAAAAGGACGAGGAGACGGCCCGAAACCTCTGACCTCTGGTGACGTCAAACGCCTGCCGCTCAAACGGTAGGTAGGTTAGGTGCCTGTTCGACTGTCAGGAGAGTTCCATGAGACATACATACCTGTGTTTGTACCTTCTGCGACTGAACACGGACCTCTACGGATGTTCATGGCAATTGCGATGCCACTCACAATGTTGTCCATGCTGAGCTCCTGTCCTTGGTTATGCTTGCACGTTGACGGGTAGTCGCCAGTGGCTATTCAATCCAGATCATACATGTCATGGAGTCAATCACGGACGGCCATGCTTAGAACACGGGCAGTTTTCCATTAAGATGTCCCTGCTCGTCATCATGTCGTCGTCCTCGTGAGCATGGACCATGGACTGGTAGGGTAGAGAGAGAGAGAAGTAGTAGCCACCTACCTGTCTACCTGTTGGCGGGTTTCCCCTGTCTCCCCCACCGGAACTGTCCAGGTTGTCAATCGCAGTTGTTGCAACGCCAATTGGGTCCCCGACCAGCCTTCGCCGTTCCGTTGTCGATAGAGGACACTCGCTGCTGCGATAGAACCGCCGCGACCTTCGTTCTTCCCGTCCTTCGTAATATCCTTCCTCGACTCGTCCGCTTCTCTCGCCTACATACCGAGCGCCTCGCCTCCCCTGCGGCCTTTTGTCTGTTCGTCCGTTTAGCCTTGACGTCCCTCGCTCACCGACACTCCTCGAGACGCTTCGTCCCAGCACCGGCCTTGTCCTCCGGCCGCGTCTTCTCGCTACGTCCAACGGCCGTCGCTTCACTACAACTGCTTAAGCCGCCTGTTCGCCACGTCTTCATGCCGCTACGAGCTTGCATATTGCCATTTTAATAGTCGCGACCTTTTCTTCTTGGATATTGAGCATTCGATTCGCCTTCTAGTTCATATTCTGCTTCGATTCGGAAACAAGAAACAGTCACTTTACATACATACCTACCTTACATCCGCTCGTCGGCCCCCCCTTTTTTTCTGCAGTACAGCAGCTAGATATTTGTGGTGGAGCTTTCGTGGATTTCTCCTGGAAGAGACGCATCGATTCTTTTCTCTCGGGAGCAAGAGTTCGATTCTTCATAAGCATCTGCATTGGGCTTCCGTCAACGACCGGTTGCTCCCAGTTTCCCCCCGGTATTAGCGTATCGTGCCTCTTCCGGGCACGTTGAAATCTCTCAAAACGGCTGTTCTCGGTCACGCTGGGCGGGACTCTCTCGTCCCCCCTCACCTTCTCGGGATGCAGGAGCTCAACGGATCTGCTGGCCAGGGCGCGCCCAACGGTGCCAATGGCACGCGCTTCGGCCATGCCTCCAAGCCCTCCAACAGCGATACTGGCTTCTCGCATGGCGCCTTCACCTCCAACATCTCGGGCTTCGCTGACCGCCACCCTCGCCGCGCCAACATCCCCTCGCTCAACACGCAGAACATGAATCAGAACCAGGGCAACGGCCATGACATGACCCCGGGCACCGCCTTTGACATGCAGTTCACCCCTCTGCTCCCGTCGCAGCTGCTCCTCGGCAGCCCCTTTCAGCCCGGGAGCCCTGCCGCCTTTGGCAGCCCTCAGTTCCAGGGCCTGTCCGGCTTCCAGCAGACGCAGCACCAGCAGGCCAGCGGCCAGCAGCACAACGGCGGCCTCTCGAGCCCCGTGCAGCCCAGCATGTCTCCCCAGTCCTACCAGGCCCTGGTGTCTCCCTCGACCTACGGAGCGCCTCAGTTCTTCCCTCCCCAGTCGCCCACTGGCTTCAACCTGCAGAGCTCGATGCAGCCCGGCTCCCCCGTCTCCATGGGCGCCGGCGTCGTCACCGGCACCAGCCGAACCGTCTACCTCGGCAACATCCCCCCCGATACCAGCGCCGAAGAGATCCTGGGCCACGTCAGGAGTGGCCAGATCGAGTCCGTCCGCCTGCTGCCCGACAAGAACTGCGCCTTCATCTCCTTCCTGGA